AGAAGAAGAAGAAGAAGAAGAAGAAGAAGAAGAAGAAGAAGAAGAAGAAGAAGAAGAAGAAGAAGAAGAAGAAGAAGAAGAAAATACGTCCTTAAAGAACACAGTGATTAGAGAGCTGAAGACTGATGTCGCTTCACACATTGAGTTCTGGGCTGAACTGCGCTGCCCTGAGGGCTGTAGGAACCCTGGCAGGCAGGTCCCCATCTCCCTTCCTCCCAGAGGCAGGGCTGAGCCAGAAGATTTTAAGCCTTCCTTTCAGGTTGGGAATGTCACAATCAAAAACACTGACCCATGCGACCCCTACTAAGTGGCCAAAAGAGGAACAGACAAGACCTCCGTTTGCAGCGTGAAGGGGAACTTCTCTCTGGCATTTCTTGTTTTGTTGCCCGCAACAAAAACTCCTGGCACTGTTCATTTTGAAGAGCATCCCTGTAATAAAAAGGATGATAAGGGAGGAAAACATTAATTCATTCAATAAGTCAAATCAGAGGAAAAGATGAAGGGGAAACTGAGTCAATTGAGTCTTTCAAGAATCTTCTTCTTTAGTGTCTTGGGTGAGCACCTGAGGGGAGATTCCTACAAGGAAAGAAATTACCAACTCACCCCACTCACCCCACAGTCTTTCCAGTCCTTCCCAGACAATTTGAGTTGCTAAAGTTCTGCATTTTATGCGGAGCCCACCTGCTGGACAGCTCTTCGAGTGTGTCAGGAAGGATTTCATATCTCCCAGGCATCTCCACTCCTCTTCCCTCTAGAGCAGCTCTGGCTCTTACTCCAGGAGGGTCTGTCCACCATCTTTCACCAAACCAGTCACCTTCCAGATTTCCTCCAGCTTCGTGACTTTCTCCAGAAGTAATCACAGTACATTGAGAAGGTTTTGTTCTGAGGAACCGTTTCTTTTTATGGCCTGCAAACTGAATTTCCATTCATTCATTTTGGTTACTTTACACTTATAAATTTGCTATCAAATGAAGTTCCATAAATTATTGAGATGAGAGGGACAAGAGAGGAAAGGGCAAAGAGATATCTACATAGGTAAGCAGGACAGTTCGGATGGCTGCACGGGTGATTTCTACTGGTCTATGGAAAGGAGAAGTTAATGCTTAATTTTGTGTGTGTGTGTGTTTCCTTTTATTTTTTTTTTCTCTCCTCTTAATTTCATATAACTTTTTTTCTTTGCTTTTCCAATTTTACATGTATATATCTGGTAATCTGAACAACTCATATGAAAACAACATTATACAGTGCAACAAGTACTGTGAAATTCATATTATTTTGTTTATTGAAATTCTGTATCATTTCTAATTTTTTCTTTTTTAATAGAATTATGTATTCTCTTTAAAAAATGAAAAATTAAAATATTGTTCCATGGTTTTTTAAATTTTTCTTTTTTATATTTTAAAGAGAATTTTAAAAATTAAAAAAAGTTAGAAAAAACAATTTCACTAAACAAAATGATAGGAATTCAGCAATGATTGTTATATTACATACTGTTGTCTTCAAATTAGTTTTTCAGATTACCAGATATAAGCATGCAATATTGGTCCAAAATAAATTTAAAAAAGAGAGAGAAAAAAATTAAGCTTTAATCAATTGTGAAAAAATACCATATCGTTTTTTCCTATTCCTCAGTTGATAGGCATTTGGGTTGTCTCCAAGATTTAGCTATGACAAATTGTGCCACTGTACACACAGGTGTACAGATAACACTATAGTACAATGTTTATAGTATTTCTGGAAAAGAGTATTTTGAAAAGTAAAACAGTGAACTCAAGGGCCAGCCAGATAGCTCAGCAGACTAAAGTGCCTGCTTTGGCAGAGTGCAGCAACTGGGGTTCAATCCCCAACCTACTGTGCCCCACCCACCCACCCCAGGACGCACTGAGAGGGCAATTGAGACTGAGCACGGTGGCATGCACCTGTAATCCCAAAGCCTGGAAGGCTGAAAACAGGAGGATCACTACAAGCTGGATCTACCTAGTAAGACCATGTAGACCCTGTAGACCCTGTACCAAATACATATAAATAAATAAGTTAAACACTGAGCTGAATTTAGCATGGCTTAACATGTGTCACCTCATATGGAGTCTTAGTAATCAGCAGTCTTTTCAAGATGCTTACAAATTATCTGTTTGATCAGATCATCCATTAATTCTCCAGAATGTTGCCAGGGGCCGGAACTGAGACACCACCTTGCTGCTGCTGTGAAGCCCCGTAGAAGTGACGTGTATACATGTGTCTGCAGCTCCACCTGGTGAGGAGAAGAAACAGCTGACTAGCTGGAATTTGCTGGAGTGGCCTTCTGTGGCACCGTCTTCTTTCTCTGTTTTATTTGGCCCCCTCCACCTCACTTTTGTTTTTCCTTTTCTTCTTCTTCCCCTACTGATCCTTGACCTTCACTACTTCCAGCTTCTTGTTTAGGTGAATTTTCTACAGCGAGTTTTGCATATCCATTTGGAAAGCTCTTCTCCGACCCCATCTGCATTTAGTCACGTGAGGCGCACACTCACAGTGCTTTGTTGGTAAGGAGCAGACTCCACAGTAAGGGACTCGAAGTGGCCACCAGCATCTAACTTGGCGCTGTTCTCCGGATCACCTTGGAACTCACCCCTGCTGGATTCAGAAATGCCAGCAGCCATTGCACAAACCGGGGCCGTCGCGTAGTCCTCGCTGCCTCCGCTCCCGCCAGCTAACGTGACACATGCAGCTCTTCCTTGCTGGCTAGGGTCGCCCCAGACTCAAAATAAGCATTTTAAAGGGCTGGGGATATGGCTTAGTGTGAAGTCCCTGCATTCAATTATTCAGTTGAGATATATATATATATATTCACTTAGAAGACGCTGATAATTTGTAACTCACTCTGAAGCTAGTGTTACTGATGTCACCTCCTTTTCTAACACTGGCAAGCTGGCTTCCTCTGGTAGGTGAATAGTGTACCCTCGTTTCCAATTTACTGAGTTTGCATATTGCTAGAATTAACTTACTAGAAATCCAGCTTTATTCTTAAATCTCATGGTTACGTCTAGAGGCCACATGCTGTCCGTTGAGAATTATTATAGCATGCCACATGTGTGTCCCCAAGATTCCCTGACTCCTGTAATAATAAGGCCCAGGGCAATGACTCTGCAGAGGGAGGACTTAGCATGCTTCAGCCTTGGGCTCTCGACAAACCTTGCGCAGTATCAGCATTTAACACCGCAGTTTCCATTTCTGGTTAGAGTTTCCAAGTTTTGCAGCTAAAGATTTCTTTTGTTTCCCTTCCACAGCCTTTAGTAATTCCCCTCGCCAGCTTCAGGGATGAAGACAGCGGGAACAGGGACCCTTCTCCCCTGAGGCCGTGCCTTGCCCAAAGCCTGTCCGGGAATATTATCACTGTAGGGCTTTGAACAGAACCTCCGTGGAGCTAAAATTGTAGCACGCACCGGATCGGATTGGGGAATGGCGCTTCAGCGTGGACAGGATTTCCCCGGAGCGACCAGCCAGGAAGCGAAGTAGAATCTGTGCTCCGAGCTCGGAGGAGCCCCGCCCCGCCGAGAGGAGGGCCCCAGGAGCCCGTCTGTCTATCGCTAGGTTCCGATCATGAGGTCGCGGTCTCCTCTGCCATCTGCTTCAGGCAAACGCACAGCCGCGTCTTAATTGTCCGCTTCCTCGCTGCAGCTCTGCGCACAGCTTGAATCTCACCGCGGGGCCCTCGAGCCCAGCAGGAAGACTGTAAGCGCACTTGGCCTGCACACAGCCACCATCCCGGGTCAGTCTCTCACTGGCCACCGAGGGAGAGCCCTTCAGACCATCTAACCTAAGATCTTCATTTTGGAAGGAAGGCAGGACAGGAGGAAGGGAGGGAAGGAGGAAGGGAGGGAAGGAGAAAGGAAGGGGGAAACTGGGGGAGACAAAGACGTAAGGGAAGGGGAAGAGGAGGAAGAAGAGAAGAAAGAAGAGGGCAGGCAGGACCCAGGGCCAAGGCATGCAGGGGCAGCGGCAGACCACAAGCCAGGGCGCCAGTCAGCGTGTGCTGCCCGGATGGCCGTGGGAACCAGAGGCAGAGGCGCTTCCTGCCGCCTGAGTCTAGAGCATGCCTCGTGGTTATCAGCATTCGAATTCTAGATATTGTAGGCAGCCGAATTAGATAGGAATATCATAGGCAGTCAGACAGGGCCAAGCCCTCAAGGAGACAAGATGGAAGACAAGGTGACTTAGCAACATGGAAGAGACAGACACTCCCATATGGGCCACACCTCAAGAGAAAAGA